AATAATTTCTGTGAATTAGGAAACATTTTTTTTTTTTTTTGAGAGAACAAAATACACAAAACGCTCAGTCATGTTCAAAAAAACGTCACAGTCAAGCTATTATTTTTATTCTTATGCTAGAATTATAATACTGTTTATCTAAAATATCGGTGTTGATTTTTTTCGGACAAACAAGAGCTAGAAAAAGTGATGAATTCGGCAAAAGAGGATCGCCGACAAATGGAAGAAAGTATCTCAAAAAAATATGATGAAATTTATCGACTGCTGGAACAGACCAATGAATTGGCCCGAGAAAACGGTGTAGCTGAGGAAGACTTAATATCAGCATCTATAGTACCACCAAACAAATTTACAACGTTGGTTTACACCTACTGTTGTCACTTCGTACCATGATTAGTGTGTTAAAAGCACTAATTTTAGATGACAAAACACTGATTTGAAATATAACTTAGATTTTGTTATAATTATGGGGGAATTCAATAATTGATTTGAAGGCAGCAGCAGTTTTTAGCTGTTAGAGCAAAAGCTGGTGGCTTTAATAATTTCTGGTCAATCTTTTTGTAGAATAAATAGTTTCAATTAACCTGTAAATCAAGCTTTATCGAAGAATTACAAAGGAATTAAAATTGTTTACTAAATACTTTAACGGTTCTTAAACACGAGGTAAAAGTAGCTGATAAATAAAAATTTCCTGCAATTTTCAAGCTCATAATTTTACAGTTTAAGATCTTTTTCGCTACAGCTAAATGTCGTTTAAAATTGAAAGGTAATAATTGCAAATTTTACTGCTAATAAGGTAACAAATATCTGGCATTAAGTAACTGCTCTAAAATACTTTTAGAATTTTTGACGGTTTCTAGTATCAGCACAGTTTATTCAGCAATAAACATTACTTATTAAAGCAGACCCCTCGCCCCCCCTCCTCCCCCCCCAAAAAAAAAATAAAATTTTTGGTCGCAACACTAATTATTGAAACTTTTAACGATTTTGTAGCGTTTTAGAAGTACACCATCGTCAATGACCAGCATCTTAAGGCAGTTCAAATCGATACAACCGATAGTACCGCCAGGTATGTTTAACTTTGATCCACTGTTACTACAAACATCACCAACACTGCCTCGTCCACCTCCGCCTCAATCCTTGGGTCATATTGTACCTCTGCCATCGATTTCTAAAGCAGATCACCAGTCACCACCAATGAAGGTAAAAGCAATTTCTAAAAAACCAAGTATTGAATTCCCTTTAATTTTTTTTTTCTTAAAAGAAGCGCTGCCGTAGCATTTTGCCAAACATTTGCTTTACTCTCTGATGTTGAACAAACCATGACAAACCATGCTTTGTTGGCGCTTCTTTGAGCAGCTTGTTTTCAGACATGTCAGTCATGTTTTCAACAAATTCACCGAAACGCTCCGATATGTCCGATGTGTAAGTGTAAAAGTCGTTCTAAAAATCCGAAAAAACCAAAACGGAAGGCCACAGAATAGGCAAACCAAAGCCGGTATTGTATGATAGTTGATGGATGTAAGTACCGTGATGTACCTTTGTCTTCTTTTTATCTTTGTGTACATTATCTTTTATTTTTTTTAATAAATCTAATTTATTCTTTTGTTTTTTATAGAAGTTAGCTTAACTTTTAAACAAATATGTCATTGACTTTTTTCTTTTCTTTTTTTGAAATTTTGAGCTGCTCAACAAATTGACTGCTTAAGAAGTTTTGTTGAATTCAACAGTAATTTTCCGTATGTATTGGGCATTAACAGGTGATGTGATTAAAATATTTTTTTACAATTGTCAGATTTACACGTTATGAAACATTAATGCAGTTATAATAGCGCTGAAAAATTGAAAAAAAAAATTTACTCTGTTGCCAAGCTTTGCTCTTTATACTTACAGTCTGATAATTTACTGTCATTAAGTAAGCTCTTATTTTTATCATCATTATCTTGTTATGATTGTATGATAATAAAGAAAAAAATTTTTTTTCTGAAGATTGGACAAATGACGACTCGAAAATACAGATTTTTTTTATGTAGTTGTCTAAACTAATTGTATTGGTTGACGTACTCATTAACAATTTGACGACTGGCATTCCTTCCGTATTAAAACCGTGTTACTTGTTTCCTAAATCAGTAAAAAAGAAATCATTACGTCATTTTAAAATGTATTAAAAAAGCATTCTTGAGAAAAAAAATAAACAATAAATTTTGTTTGTTTTTGCTACTTTTTGTTACCAAGTCTTATTTATCAGCCATTTCCGTTTTTCTTAAGTTACCATTTTTTATTTGTGCAATTTTCGGAAAGAAAGAATTAAAAGTTTATAAAAATTAGATATATTTTCTGAAATTTGATTAAACGAAAATGTCAGAAGTGATCCGAATGAATATTTCAATAAATGATATGTAACTGCTAGATAACGACAATATTTTAAAACCGGAAACTTAGCTTCTGACAGGTGACAGGGATCACTTACGATCAAAGGCATGCGCAGGAAATGGTAATACAGAATTCCATAATTTTATCATCGGTATTTTTACATGTGGTTGAGACAATAATTAGATTTACATTCTTTTTTTTTTCAGTTAACTAATATTTCATGAAATATCTGTGTACATTATCAACCACTTAAATACCATAAAAGATATGTAATAAAACATTTTCTACATTCTTTGTGGTTATCAGTTGATATTCAAGAGTTTCAATTAGGTATTCCGTAGTTGCTACCACTAAAACGGTAGAAGTTAGCAAAAACTATAGTTGGTCAACAGTTGCCTTAATTTGGGCACGAAAGAAACTGAAGCGAAACTCTGCTGACTGAAGGTTTTTAAAGAATGAGTCACCTTTTTGGTACCACTTATGATTTTTTGTATTAATGGAATGTATTGTTGGTAAGTATAGTGACAACAGAAAATTCACTCGTTCTATGATTCTACACTAAAGAAAGCAAGTTATGTTTTAATTTCAGATATATGCCTTTAAAAAAATCTCAGTTTCCGTTAGACAGGTTGAAAGCAGCAGTTTTCAAGTGTTTCGTAACATTAAATGATCCCGCTCTTTTCAGTGTATACCTGTTTCATATTGTCTTGATTATTTAATTTCTCCTCTTATCTTTTCTGTGTCTTTTGGTATTTAGGTTTTGTTCTTTTTTAACTTTAACAACCGTATGTTTCAATGATAACAACAACTCATCTATTGCGAGAAAATAATAGTCATATGTTGTCGAGTAATAAAATACCCGACAATTGGAGTAAGAAATATTTGTGTTTTGTAAGCCAAATTATCACTTATATTTCTGCATATATTTCTCTTACCTAATTAGTCGTTCTGTTCTGTGATTGGTTTTAATGTAAGCATCAATGTTTATCTGTGTTACTGAAAAGTGTACATTACTATGTCGTCTTGATAAAATATGGAAAGCAAAAATTCTATTTTCCGACGATCATAAGAAAAGTAAATAACAAAACAAAAAATTTGTTACTGATGCTTTATTGTCATTTATAACACAGCGCCTTTTTAGAAGCAAAAAAGCAATATAGAAAAAAGTCTATTGAAAAGACTTACAGAAGTGTGAACAAATAACGCTGTGTGTGTGTGTCTGTGTGACGACAGCATTGTATGATTAAGTTGCTTCAAATAATATGGGATTGTTCAATGTTAGTTCATCCATTAAGTGCACTACTTATTTTGTAAATTCTTAATTGGCTTATTAATTAGTGTTTAATGAATAGAAAATCATGTTCAAAAATCTAGCAAAAAGAGAGAAAAAAAAAAAACCAATCCGCTCAACAAATCGTTGCTGAAGGAGCAGCTGCACAGTGTTATGGATATTGTGTGCCTTTGCCAATGTAATTTGGTTTATCCGCCTTTGGCAAATATACCGATAAGAATACTATTTATAAGCGGATCTTTAGTTTTTTTTTTTTCGATTAGTAATCACTGAAGTTGTTACCGAACAAAAAAAATTAGTTCTTTTTCTTTTTTTTTTTTCTTTCTGTAAATTGTCTGCTAGATTGAAAATTGTGAAAGAACTATTGCAGGTGTCATTTTTTTTTTCCGCCATCTTCTTTTGAGTGCCATTTTCTCAGCACACAGACACTGATACATACCGACACATCGACACACAGTCACATGCACATACATATCGTCTTCAAGGCGTATGATTTGCATAATCACGGCGGGTGAACCAATGATTCAAATTTGAATGTTACTTTTTGTCATTTCCACTTTTTTGTTTTTTTGTGGATTTAATCTCTCCACTGTTTTTCACGTATACAACTCTTATTATTGTCATTTTTTTTTAAACTAAACAATAAGCAACAAAGTTCTTTCTATTAG